GAGTGGTTCTTGAACTACTTAATTAAAGATCTACAAATTGTTAACACTCCTGAATGGGTAATCATGTCTGACAGGCAGAAGGTAAATTTTCCTCTTTTTCCATTATTTACAGTTTTAAATTTTGGTTTTTTATTTTTTAATATGTATACAAATTCCAACTTTGAAATCCTGATTGCATTGTTATTATATTAAATTTTGTAGGGTTTGATACCAGCTGTGAAATCAAAACTAGATAGAGTTTTACATAGATTTTGTGTGCATCACTTGTGGTCGAATTTCAAGAGGCATCATTCGGGCCTTGTCTTGAAATAGAAACTTTTTGAAATTGCAAAATCAAGTTATGTGGAAGAGCATGATGAGCTTATGGCTTCTTTGAAAGAGCTTGATGAAGGTACATGGGCATGGCTACAAAATGAGGATGTTGTTCATTGGTGCAGGTCGCATTTCCCTACGTCTACTAGGTGTGACTGCGTTACTAACAATGTGAGTGAGGGTTTCAATAGAGCAATATTGCCTGACAGGGAATATCCCATCATTGGAATGCTTGATTGGCTTCGGGTATACCTAACTTCAAGGGCACAACAGAAAAGGGAGTGGCTGGCACGAAATAATTGTATTCTAGGTCCAAAGATAAAGAAAAGGTTGCAGGATGATGCTGAAGAAGCTGCTAGATGTAAAGTGATCCATTGTGGTGGTCCGCTGTTTTAAGTGAGGACTATTGATAGCTGTGATCAGTTTGTGGTAAACCTTAAGGAGAAGATGTGCATGTAGGAAATGGCAGTTGAATGGACCGCCATGCTCTCACGGCATAGCTGTCATAGTAGAGAATAGAGATAAGGTTGAAAGCTATGTGGATAAGTGTTACTCAAGGGAGATGTATGAGAAGGCATATGCATATGTCATTGTCCCTGTAAATGGCCCAAAATTTTGGCCAAAATCTGGTGGTCCTACTTTGAGCCCCCTGAATTCAAAATCAAAATCGGCAGGCCAAAAGGGAGTAGGAATAAGGACAAGGATGAGCCATTAAGGAGAAACAAGAAAGGATCATTGAAGGCAAGTAGAAAGAGGGGTAAAGGGGTAAACAAATGTAGTTTCTATAGAGGTGAACATATTAAGAGAAATTGCCCAGGGTTTAAGGCACAACAAAATGGAGAAGATAATCAGGTATCAAGTTTCATTCTTCTTGGTACTTTGTTAAATGTGAGTTTCTTGAATTTTTATACAGTACTGATATTGGTACCATTTCAATGAACCAGTGAGAAAGGGGAGTGCAAAACACCAATCCACCTGTACGAAAAAGGATGGGCAGACCACCCAAGAAGAAGCCACAGGATTTAGGTAAAGGCACAAGTAACCCGGTAGAGTCTGCAACTCAGTCACAACCCAAGAAGAGGGGTAGAAAACCCAAAAAAATTGGTGGTGAAGTGCATGTTAACCAAAGTTTATTGCAATGTGACTATTGCAAATTATTGAACCACAATGTTACGGACTGTCCAGTACTTGAGGCTGAAAAATTATTGACAGTCCCTGAAAATTTAAGTGAGGTAAAGTTTAGATTACTGTTTACTCCAAATGTTCATTTTTTTTGTCAAAGTATAAATATCTATTATTCGATGCAAACTCTTGTAGGTTTTTAATACCCCTGGTGCACCTCCTGCAACTCAACCTAGTGGATATTCACCCCCTGAAGATGGTTATATGCACGAAGGATGCGACTTCTGCAGAAGTAATGACCACGGAGAAGACAATTGTCCTAGGCTTGATATCCAATGTGATTATTGCAACTATTTTGGACATTATAGAAATGAATGCTATGAATTAGAGGTAAGTTAGGTAGTATATATAACCAGTTTATGCAGGAATGATTGTTCTGATTTTGTAGTTTGCATGTCTTTACAATACACTTTTTTACGTTTCAGAGGGATCTGGATGCTGGTGTTGATGTGAATGCCCATGCTGCAAATGCTGCCGCTGAGGAAGAAGCACCTCTAAATGCGAATCCTCCTGAAACTGGAGTTCCTATTCATCAGCAAGAATCACAACCAGCTGCAACTGAGAATTCTCTTGAAACTGGAGCTCCTGTTCATCAGCCAGAATCACAACCTTCTGCAACTGAGAATCCTCCGGAAACCGGAGTTCCTGTTCATCAGCCAGAATCACAACCACCTGCAACTGAGAATCCTCCGGAAACTGGAGTTCCTGTTCATCAGCCAGAATCATAACCACCTGCAACTGAGAATCCTCCGGAAACTGGAGGTCCTGTTCATTAGCCAGAATCAGAACCACCAACTGAATCCTCCGGAAACTGGACGTCCTGTTCATCAGCCAGAATCACAACCACCTGTAAAGTCTACTGTAGATGAGGATTATGTACATGAGACTGAACCAAAACATACTGGAAATGCTGGTCAGGAAGTTGATGATGAGGTTAGTTTCTGTTTTGGCTCCAAATAGAATGTATTTGATAATTAGGTTCTGTAAGTTACATTTTGGTTCCTATTTGTGTTTGAAAGTAACAAGGAATATTGTATTATATTTTTTGTAGGTGGCTTTGGATATACTGTTCGAAGAAGAGAAAGAGTGTATAGAGTGGAAAGGTCTTGCTGCAGCATTGAAAGATCCAAGGTCAGGAATTATAAGGCCCAAAGTAAGTGCACCTGCCCCCAAAAAACGCACAAGACTTCGTACTTCTTCAGCCCCTACAACCCCGAGGAGAGCTAGTGCAAGGCTTATGAATCTAGCACTTTCAAAAAAGATGGACGTTGATGGACCTGGGAGTACATTTGAAAATGCGATTCAAATATTAACTGAAGAAGAAGCAAGCACCCTCTTGCGTAAGAAGCCAAAGACATTCCATGGTGTAGATCCTCAGCAAGGTTTATTATATAACTTTGGTTCAGTTTCGATATGGTTGTATGCCGAAGTTATTCTTAAATTTATATTTTGGACTCCTTCAGATAGGCATAGTCTGATGGTGTGGTATGCTATTGATGATTTTTGTATTTTGGAAGGCACTGTGATATTTTGTTACAAACTTAAGATAAATTTATGCAGATGGTTCGGTAACCATCAATTTTGTTTCTTTTTCTGGAACTGAGATTTATGTCTTTAGTTTGTGAAAGGAAAAAACAGAACTGAGGCTATTCTGACTTACAATGTCCGGCTTCACCTAAATACGTCACGTCTAATTTACTGTCGTAGGAATTTTTACTTGAGAAGTGATAACCGAACATTTTAATCAATAACCCAACATTTTATTGATAACTTGACAATCGTAGCAAAATAAGATTGACGATTTTAATTTACAAAATAAACCTTAATTGTACGTTGATCACATTACCGGTAACAAAATAAACAGATTGCCTTAAATTGGAAGCCCTGACAACAACATCTATTACAGTCTTAAAAAACCACAAACACATACACATTACCATGCTTAAAACACTAAACTATAAACACATACACGTTAACACACCAATATTTGGCTCAACCGGATTCAAATGCCCCTAAATTTAGAAAGATTCCCACTACAATCATCTACTAAAAACTAAAATTAAGGTAATTCATCCAATTCTTCAATCAATGAAGGATTTTCTCACAGTCACCAATCACCTTCAACGTTTCCCTTGGACCAAAATAAAAGATACCCCCAGTTGCTAGAAGGAGAGAAGTTAAAATCTTAACATTTAGGTTTGCACCCGTCATTGCATCTCCACACCATATGATCTTTCTCCATCAGAAGGACATCCTTCCTAGCCAATAATTCATCTTTTTCAGCAAGAAAGCCATTCTTCTCTACTATCTCTTCCCTTCTCTTTATCAAGGCTTGGAAAAAACCAGGCAGCAACGATATACTACGGGAACACCTCTCAGAATCAAACCAATCGAAGAAACCACAAGAAGCATCAATATGGTACCTTGGGCAACCAAAAAATTTGCGACCCGCATTTATTGGTGTCTTCGCCAACGTGAGCTCAGCCGGCAATCCGCAAAAACATACGGAATGTTCGGGATAAGGGGCGGGGGAGGGAGATCTTCGCATCTTTTTTCACCAATTTTGAAGAATTGGTGCTTGTTGTGGGATGTAATCGCGGTCGGGGTGGCTAAAATCGAATTTAGGGTTTGATGTTGGACCCGATACAAATTGGGAAAGAAGAAGAAGAAGGTTCTGTGAAGTTGAATTTTTTTGGTATTTAATATGTTAGAATTTTAAATGGGTTGGGCTTAATTAGTTGATGTTTTATTTTTTTTGGGCCTCGAATAGTTGATGGTCCGTTATTTATTGGGCACAACAAATTAGTCGTCGCCGGAAATTTGTCGTCGCCGGAATCAGAACCGAATATTCCGGTTCCCGGCCGGCGGTGGATCAGCGGTGCCCCGTCTTTGGACCGGCATTGACTCACAGTGGTTCGATGGTGGTTCACGGTGGCGCCCCTCATTGTTGCCGTCCGTTGAAGCGGCGGCTCAAGGCGGCAAATTCAATTTTTTTGAATTTTGAATTTGTACGTGACTCGCACGTGCGTGGGGAGTGTGGTTCATTTTTTTGATTTACCGATTATATACTTCGTCAACTCCACCGTCCACCGCTGCTGACCACCACCCTTTTTCTCGGAAAACAAATGGAGAATCGAAAAAAAAATAAAAGTTCACTATTTAGTACCAAAGTGCAACGTTTTTTCTTTTTAGTTCCGAGTGAATATAGATTGCATCTTTTCAATACTTTTGGAGTAATTAATTCAATTCTTTATTAGCATTTGGCCTACATTTTTTCAACAAAGTTGAAGGGCCATATGCAACCAACATGATCATTTAAGACATTAAACACCTTTTGCATTCGTTTCCTAATCTTAATTTTTTTTGGATTAGTCGAATAGAAATTTCTATAGCTCATAAAATTGTTGATTATGCAAAATCTTGTAACGTGAGCACACTTTGGTTGTAGGCCGATTTGGTCACCTTTCAGTATTAGCGGATTCCAGCTCATTTATAAATTCTTTCTCAAAAAAAAAATCTATTTTTCAAAAATTGTTGGTCTTGAATTGAATTTTTCGTCGTTTCCTTAGAAAATATAACAAACAAATAGGAAAAGCTATTATTCTGTGATCATTCATTCATTCATTTATTAAGGAAAATTATGTCGAGTTTTTGAGGTGATTACAGCTGTACAAAAAGACAGCATTTATTTATTTCTTTCAAACTGTAGCGCGCCTTTTTATGGAGGAACAATTAAAACAGTGAACGAAATTGCAAAGGTCAATCGAAATTTGCCTTTTCAGGTCTCTTCCCAAATGGTTTCCCAACTGATATTGAATTTCTCTTTTTTACTCTTTTTAGTTAATTATTATTAGTAATAGCACTCTCATTTCTCATTTCTCATTCCGCCGCCTTGTGCCACCGGCGAATTCAGCACCCGTCCGCCGGTTTTGATGGTGTTTGCGAGAGCGATTTTGGCGTTGGATTGGACTATTAGCTAAAATTAACTGGTAATTGGTCATCTACCCAACCTTTTAATTTTCTGATGGTTTTTTGGTAGTGTAGTGAAGCTGAGTTCCGTTTTCATTTTAGGTGTTTGTTAGTCTTGCACCAGTTTAAGACTTCTGATTTAGTTAGACGAGGGATCCATAAGAAATGGGAGTCGTGAAATTTCTCTCTCTCTCTGTTTTTTTTTTTTTTTTTTTTTTTGGGGTTTTCTTCATGTGATTAGTTCTTCTTGATTACGCTTGATGGTGTAAAGGCGAATGCATGTTAGTAAAGGCTTTTTGATTACCCCTTTTTTGAAGGATCAGAATCTCTTTGTATGATATAGGTTTGATATGGAACTTAATTTGTGAAATTGAAGCTCTTTGCTCCTTATCTGATTGTTTCTCACCTTAAACGAGTTTAAATTGGCAATGTTGCCTAACGTTTGCCCATGGCATTGATACTTTTTTTTTTTTTTGGTATTCAAGATTTCTACCAAGATGTCAGAAGTTACGCCACCTACGGAGGAAGTAGTGAAGGTATTACTGGATTACTTAGTTGACCCAATGTTACCTTTGAAGGTCTCTCGTAAGAATCCTCCACTTTCTGATCAGAAGTCTGTGGCTAAGCAGGTTTTTTTTTTCCCATTCTCTTCATTGCATGTGTATGTTTGTTGCTTTTGATCATTTATATTCGAATAACGGGTTAATAGGTGTTATTACCGTCGTCAATCTTTATTGTGGTGCAATTATCATTAGTATTCTTGAAAGTTTGGGACAAAAGAATTGTTTCAAGAGCGTTGTTTACACATAATGCCATCCGTTTCTTCCTTTCCTTATTCTTTTTCGTTTTGGTTTCTGTACTTTTGTTCATCTTTTCACAAAGAGCTTGTTTGTTGGACTTCATTAACATGATGAGTAGTAAACCAGGCAACGGTTGTACGATTATTTTGTTCCTTCTCTTACCCTTCTATCTACTAACTCATTGCCCCCTTTTTCATCAGTCAATCTCCAACAGAGCACCAATTCTTCTAACTTTCTCATCAATCTAAAATTGATCTGAAATCATCAGCCTCTTGAACTTTCTGAGCAGATCCGGCGTGTCAACCTATTGTTTTCTTCATCAATGTTTCTTATTCCTTAGGGTAATCCTTCCGCAGCAGCTGTCCCATTTTTTTTATGTTTGTCACCAGTAATTACAAAAACAGTTGTGAGATCTCATCTTTACCATCTTGGTTTTTGCTTCTTTTGGCCAGATTTATTGATGTCGAAGTTTTCTTCTTTTGGGTCTCATGTTTGGTATTGTTTGACTGTTAATGACTGTTGATTGGTGGCCAGAAATCGATAAGCAATCAATTTCATCACTTTAGCCTTTTTTAGAGGAAATTTTCCCAAATGAAACTCAACCTGTTATAACTGTTGCTTTAGGGCCGAAAATGGATAAGAAGCCAATTTCATCTCTTTTGTTTTTCGAAAGAAGTTTCCAGAAAAAAACTCATCCTGGGTGGTGGACACATGGCAAAAGTGTTAATTTTTGTGGTGGGAAAGTACAGTTTACCGGATTGGGCCACAGCCAACTTTGTTCCGGCTGCCCCAAAAAAATTAATTTGAGATAGAAATGTAAAATTTGAATATATGTTGATTCTGTTTGGACGAACCAGCAACATAAATGCTTCTATAATACCTGTTATCATTACTTATTTATATCATGTTCATACTCAAATCTCATTGCTACTTGCAAACATGCGCCTCCTCACATTCTTATTTCTTCCGTGATACTTTTTGGGCATCAAATATTGACTAATAATTGATAAAATATAGAGGCCTTCTCAAGTTAACATCACTGTATTACTGCACCTATGGGATGTGTGGTTTAGGAAGTGAAACTGAAATGTCAATTGTTTAACTGACTTTACAAACTTAACATGCATGCTGCTTGTTATCCTACAGATGCATGCTGTTGTGTTACTCTACAACTACTATCACAGGAAGCAACACCCAGAATCGCATTTTTTGGAATATGAACCATTTTGTCAGTTGGCTTTAAATTTAAAACCAGCATTGATAGCCCACATGAATTTTGCACATCAAGGTGAAAGTACGGTATCAAAGGACTCGGAAAATCAGCTTTCATTAACAGAAAAAGCTATCATGGATGCGTGCACTATGTCTTTGTCCTTAGAAACATTGGGGGATGTTCAAAATGCAGAAGTGTGGCCTGTCAAAAAAGTTTCAGTTATACTAATAGACTCAAAGAAAGAGAACTGTTTGCTGCTATACGGTTGCATCACCAATGGTGTTTGGTCCGTTATTGAAGAACTTCTTGATGTCTCTGATTTAGATTCAAAATTCTCAACAAGAGAAGGGAAAAGGACTTCGACATACAAAAATGATGCCAAGGGTTCAGGTTTTGAACAGGTTGCCTTCTCAGCAGTTGAGAAAGCTACAGGTATTCAGTCTTTTTCCGTATGTAATGAAATATGATTTCAAAAATGGACATTGTTCATAGAAGTTATTTTTTTCTCTTCAGCATTCAAGATAGGATGAAAATCAACGTCTTCTTCCATCGTGAGAAGTTTTAATCTCTTAGCTCACAGACTACTTGATTTGAAGCGAACTGTTTAGAAGAAATACTGTCCTCTGATGTATTTGCAAAATTCTTAAATTTCTCCCTGGTGTAAAAGAGTGTAGTTGCCCAAGTTATACCTTTATGCTTTCGATGTCCTATCAAATGGTTGAGAAATACTAATGAAGGGAGAACATGAAATATGCCAAACATGGGCAGCAAATGAAAAAACTGGTCCTAACTCGTCCTTTTAGCAACTTATATGAGTGGTTGTTTCCTCTGAACTATGGCCTGAAACTTCTGTTCAAATCATAAAGACTAACTGGGTTTCCCGTATCCCGGGGCCAGAAATTGGAAATTTTGCATACAGGAAACTTCTTTTTCTGTTATAAAAATTTAAACATTAAATTATCTTGATATTATCCCTTCGTTCCATTTTCAGAGGCTTACTTTCTATTCTGGGATTCCCTACCTTCTTAGTGATTAGCCAACTTTGTTTGTTCGTTTCCGCATACATTGCTGATACTAATTTCAAAAATATAGATTAATTGATAAGTTTGATTATTAACTAGATATAGTTGGTGAAATAACTTCATTTCAGCTCTTAAGATAGTGGATCAAACACTATATAAAGTAAACGTTTGTAATTGATGATGTTACCTTTTAATGGTAACTAGAAATGATAATCCATATTTGGATAGAGTGCTTTAATTTTTTGTGGGACCTAACTGTTTTGGTGGATTAATGGATCTCTAATGTGAAACAGGAATTCATCAGTCTGAACTCATGGTTTTGGAGAGGCATGTGGTGTACTCCTTGAGCAAAGATAAAACAGCTGCTTGTTTCTACATTATGCAATGCATCCAATCCGGCAAAGACTTTGAAATTCCTATCAAAGATGCAATTGAGAGGTTAGTTTTATCTTATTGTTTTTGTGGTATATAAGGTCAACAGAGGCCTCTATTAGAATTGGTTTATGCTTTGTGCGTAAAAGTATAAATTTGAACAATGCATTAATCATGAAGTTGGTTGGACTGCATGGTTTTCTAATGCTTTCTTTTGTTTTCGGAACCTTCATCTTATATGCCAGATTGCTATAACTTGTACAAATGAAATCCTTTGAAAGAAATACTCTTTGGATAAGATATTGTTGGTGGAGGCCTTTTAATTTTTATTGTTGTCATTTGAGAGAATGTCCGTTTCATAGAGAGGTTTTGTATGTACCTTCACCACAATCATTTAAGATATTATTGTTATTTGTATATCAGTTTGCAGGGCCCTTTGTTAAGATGGAGTTTTGGTTGCTGGATGCAAACCCAAGTGGTTGAGTATTATAATGTGCTTCCTTATGCCAAGGTTATGTCTAGATGGTACTTAAGGTACAACCATTGACACTCAGTTCCATTTTCTTTTGTACTGCTTTGTACTTGCATAATGTTAATAAGCATCTATGTATTCGAGAAAATTTTAGAGGGATTCGAAAGGAATGGAATGATGGTTCAATGCTGTATAGTTATTGCTTAATCGATTCCAGTTATACTTACCTACCCTGAAACATTCATTTGTATTGAATACCTTACTACATTAAGTTAGGAACAGTATAGAATTGCCAGCAGGCAGTGAATTGTTTTTGAGGGGGAGGAGAAAAAACAAGAAGAGGACGTAAAGGATTAAACCGTTACTTCACCCGTAAGCGAATTTCGGATTTCGAGGATGAAATTCTATAAGTGGTAAAGGCTGTGAGGATACCGAATTTTGATATGTTTTATGTTGGCCAATACTTAGGAATTTACAATATGGACATTAAATTTAATTTGACTATATACTTTGAACTAAATTATAAAACTTAACCCATTGACGCAGCACAAACGTGGTGGTTGAGAAAATCAGAACTTAGGCTGATTAAAGAGTAGTAGGCAGCAGAAAATCAATAGAAAACTGTAGGGAATAAGGGAAGAAGTCGCAGGAACACAGAGATAAGCAGTAGGAAAAGAGAAGAAAACAGTAGGAAAAAGAAGAAAACCTAAGAATCACTCTTAGGGCCCTTTGGCTTCACACCGCAGGAATCCTAGGCATCACACCAAGGGTTTAGTTGAGTCACACAACTGATGTTGAAAGCAAAAGCTTGCTGGAATGTTTATTAATCTCATAACTGTCTAAAACCCTCAAACGAGGTACCTATATATAGGCCTAAACCAGCAGCAAATAGGTAATTAAATATCAGCTTCCTAAAACTAAATTCTTTTGACGACCTAAAATTTAATCCATAAGGAAATTAAACTAAATACCAATAATAGGGAACCAGTACTCCAGGAAAATCCTGCAACCTAGCAGAATTACTGAAGTACCCTTATTCTAGAATAACAAAATATTCCTGCATATTGTAAGTACTAGTGATTAAGCTAACCAAAGGTCTCATACTTTGGTTTCCTCCTCGGATCATGATGATCCTGGTCATAAATATGAAAGAACCTACTGATAGGGTTCTTCTACCATTCCTTGTCCCCATCACCCATTTATATTGTCGACCCAATTTTTGGCCTAAATCCACTCTACTCTTAGCGAAGCTAAATACCTTTTTATTTAATATAAGTTAGAACAAAAACCAATTGGCCCAATGTCGTTCTCGTTGAAGGGAAAGTTGGAAGCCCAGATTTTTATTCTTCTTTACTAGCCCGTCAAGCTATTGTTTTCTAGCAATAATCTCCCCAAACCGACTTCAACAGTTATGTTTCACTGTATTTTTAAAATTATTTTCTACACTTAAAATTTCCGGAACCAACTATGTCTTCAGGCTATACCCCGTGCTGAATGAAAAAGTTTCCCCCATTCATTTTGTAGGGACAACCCGTACCTCCTCTTTTCTAGAATGCTTTTAGGCGTTCTGGTTTTGGTTCTCATTAGGAAGCAGCGATTGGATTGAGATTTCCATATCGGGATCTTCTCCATCTGAGGGAAGTTGTTCTATACAATCACAGACCCAACAGGGCTACGTTTCTTCCTTCCCTTTCCACCATCTCATCTCTTCATTTCCCGCGCCGTGCAACTTTCTTCTTCTCTCTCACTCCCTCGTATGGATCACCACCCTCACCTCTTTAAAGTTTAAACCCTACCCACCATTTCTGCTCCTCAAATTTAATGAATCTAATAAAAGAGAAAGGTATAGGCAGCAGTAACTTATCACCAAACGAGTTAAAGAAGAAAAAGACGACCCAGGGAAAGGAAAAGAGAAAGAGGGAACGAAAGCACTGAGGTAGTTGAGGACCCAGCGTCTAATTCCTGTAGTTGTTTTAATGTACTCTGCAGGGTTTTATTGCAGTTCGCGGGTATATGAATTGATTGGAATATAGTGAATTGAGTCGATAATACGGTGTTTGGTCTAGGGATGATTAGCTCTTTGTTTTATTATTTTTGGTACTCAATTTTCGTATCTACTGTCATTAATCTTGGTGTTGTTACTTGCTATTAATTCTATTAAATTTAAATGGTTGAGGAATGCTTATGGCCGAACAGGCATGAAAACAAAGCATAAGGAAGAATGTTGTAGTTTAATTAGAGAAATGTTACCAATGATTATTGTGCATACTTAAAGAGTTTAAGTTAATTGGTTATTGGCGTTATTGTGACTCTTGTTAACTTGTCGGGCATTAATCAAAATGTAGAAGTGACGATAAGGATGGCTATGTCTCTCTTTTCTTGCTATTTGTTGATTTTGTGCGATCATATGTAACTGTCATACTCTATAATAATTGTAGTTAAGTTGCATTCCGTGTATGTACCTTGTAAAGGTGTGTTCAGCTATTAGTGGACCTCGTTATCTTAGGAATAAAGGTTCACCTAGCGTTGCACATCAGTGAAGCTGAGTGCCGTGTTTATTATATTATGTGCTGTGCCATTTGATACAAATCACCTAATACAACTTTGGACTACTGGGGATGGGCTGTTGTTTGATGGTCATGGTCCTTGGTGGTACCAAGAGTTGGTCATAAAGTGGAATTTTTATGAATTAATTCATATTGCAGGGAGTTTATTCCAAATGGTTCAGCTAGTTTGGATGTTAGCAGCTTGGAAAAATTCTATGGGAATTGCAGTGAGGAATTTGATGAAAGTAGGCAAGCCATCTCAAATGCTTCACAGAACTATTGCATTGGATTAGAAGACATAATTGATAAAAGATGTTTAATGTTGAAAAGCACATGTGATGAGGAATTCAGTATGTTTCCAGTCTTCTGTGATCGAAGCTACAATGATGCCAAATCCAGCGGTACTGAGGCCATTGCTGATGAAATCTCTGAGCTAGTGGATAAAGAAGCTGAAGATAATGAAATTTCGAGAGAGTTGATTGCTCAGGAAAGCTCTCAGAAAGTGGAGAAAGAAGCTCAAAAAATGATGATTTCTGATCAATCCTATGGTGTCATTCTTCCAGCTTTGGAAGTGGTGGCAAATAGTATTGATGCACAGTGTAGTGAAAAAGAATCAAATGGTATTGACGATTTTAGATTGGAAGCAATTGAAAGTGAAGAAAAGAATAGTGCTGGAACTCGGTCAGAAGGGAAAATGTCAGAAAACTGCAACAATGTGCCATGTACCAGCAAAGACAAACCTAATTCTGAGAACTTTGAGATGAAAGATATGGAAATTAAGAAAACAAAAGAATCAGAGAACTCTTTTGGCATCAATCACCCAAATGCAGGACAGTTAGCGACTGGTATATGTTGTAATCTGGAAATTAATACTGTCGAGGACAACGGAACTGAGAAATTTGTAAGAAACGAAAATTCCGAAAAGTCATTGGATAGTTATCACTTAATGGAAACTGAAGAAAATACAAATTCAGGGAAGCCTTTTGAAATTACTCAGTTAGAAGGGGAACAGTCGACAAACTGCAATATTGCACCATGTATCGTCGAAGAGAAAAGTGACTTGGGGAATGATGAGATTGTGGTGATAGAAATTAAGAATTCAGAAAAATCAGATAACTCTTTGGACGTCGCTCACCCAAATGCAGGACAGTCGGAGATTGTTGTATGTTGTACACTGGAAAGTGATACTGTCGAGCACAACAGAGGAGAGACAGAAGTTGAAAGAACCGAAAATTCCAACAAGTTGTTGGATACCAATCAATTAATGGAAAGTGAAGAAAATAACAATATTGGAAAGCCCTTAGAAATTGCTGAACCAGAAGGGGAACAATCAGAAAATGACAATAACGCACCATATACCAGCAAAAGGAAAATTGGTTCCGAGAACTTTGAAATGGTAGAGATAGAAATTGAGAAAATAGAAAAATCAGATAACCTTTTGGACATTGCTCACCTAAATGTGGGACATTTACAGGATGGTGTGTGTTGTGAACTGGAAACTGATACTGTCGAGTACAACAGAGGAGAGAATGAAGCTGAATTAACTGAAAATGCCAATAAGTGGTTGGACATCAATCACTCAGCTGTTGAACATTTAGACAATGATCACATTGGTGAAGGCACCATTTGTACTGGCAACTCTACACAAATGGAGCTAGAAGTTGAAGGCATAAATAGATCTGAGACATGCCCTAAGGTCACCCATTCATCATCCAAAGGATTGGGAAACACTATAAATGAAAGCCCTTGGCGCAAAGAAACAAGTGACGATTCTGAAACGACACAGAAATTAGTCGTAGAGACAGAAAAATCTGATACATGTTGTGATGCTGTAAAGTTAAATGACAAAGGATTGAGCAGTAATACTTTAGAAAATTCAAAACAATGTCCTAGTCCTGATCTGCAGGTTATCCAGAATCCTCCCAGAAAGAGACAAAAAAAGCATAAAAATGAACTTGTGGATTTTCTCAGCAGACAGAAAGATGAAAATACTGAGGTGCCTAATCGTGTTTACTGTTACCGGAAACGGAAGACTGCTTTGGAGAGTGGTGCTTCTTCTTTAGCTGGTACCAGCATATATGTAGGTTCATTTATTTAATTTAATTTTTCATTCCTACCTACACTCTCCTGCTAAGTTGTTTTTTTGCTTTTAGTCACCTGATGGTACTGATCATGAGGTTCCTATCCAAGTTTTAATCTGTCAGTATATAGGAAACTCCACTATTTAAACTTGACAATGAAAATTTTTAAAAAAGAATCTCTAGTAAACAGGATCTTGGAACTGATAGAAAGAAACTTGTAGAGTTAATTTGAAGCTCCTGTATTTGGTTCATCGGGCGGTTGGTAGATAGTACTTCGCTTATTTGTTTTGAACTTTTCATCCGGTACATAGGGTGCTGGAGTCTATCTTCCCCAATGGGCAAAGTCTTGGAAACAGTTAATAGTTAGCATCATGTGTAAATTGTAAACAGGGTAGATTGCATCTATTTTCATTCAAATTTGTAGTCCATGCCTTGCTTGAACATTCTCAATTGTCAAAGAAATTATGTGAAATCAATTTTTACTACTTAGCTGAATGGATTTTAGTGGTTACCCATAACCTAGTCATGAAAGACACTATTTCCTGATGAGCAGGGGTGTTAGATACTTTCTGGGCAGATTTCTTTATTCGTAAATCAAGAAACATCGTATGCTGGATTCTGAAGTTCTAGAAGTATTTGCTAAAACTCTTCTCAGATACTATGAATTGGAATGTGGAGAAAGAAGTCGATGTGAGACTGTAATAAACCAAACAAAAGTTTACTGTGGGTAGGGTATCGAGAGTTAATAGGCGATAAATGGAATAAAATATATGGTGATGGAAATAAGAAATTTAAGAAAATAGTTAAAGCTAAGAGATTAGTTACAAAAGTCTCTAAAAGTGTAAAGTTTTGTGTTCAAGATATCAAAGTCTCTAAGGAAGTTTTTAACTTCATAAATGGAGCAAAGACAGGCTTTTCAAATCAGATAATGTGAAGAAAAAGCTAAAATGTTGGGTATAAAACAACTAACCTAAATTTGATCATGTTAAACAATAAAGTGCAACTGTTTTAGTTACAGCAAAGTAAAAAATGATCAATATTATGTTTATAATCTATTCGAGAAGCTTATGGTCACAAAATATGACTGAACTACGTAAGTTAAAGAGCTCTTTTAAACAATTAATAATGAGAAAGCAACTAGTCCCAACATGGTAGGGCTTGAAAAAGTTCGAACTTATGTAATTCGTAAATCTGTTGAATATACTTGGGAAAACATAACAAATGCTGGTCAATAGTGATTAATCTATCTGTATAATTGTATAAAAAGAGCCAAACGAAGGAGATCGAACTTCTGTGGCCCCTAGAAGTTTTGAATCTGTTAGAAAGAGCGATATGAACAAGGTTTAGAAAAGAAACTAATTTACTGGATAACATTTTGTTTTCACTTCAATGTGATTTTATTGCATAAACTATTCTTTCGTGCTAGTCAGGTCTAAAGTGGAACCATATGTATAACTAGAAAATTATGTGTTTTAATGTTTTTGTATCATCGAAACTTGGTTACAGATGTTATTCACAAATTTTATGTTTCTTTTTGGAGTTGACTCTTTTCTTTCTTGTGATAAGCTTAGATGTATTTATATATGTATGAGATTTTCTAATGTTTTCAGTATCATATTAGTGTTAACAAGTCTTTTGAGTCATAACTTGTTCCGGATACGTCCACCGCATCTGGTATGACATCTTTAACTCTATTCCAGGTCAACACAGCTGCTACTCCAGAATCATTTTCTTTTAATATTGGGAAAGAAAATGTCGCTGGAAATAGCATCAATGCAGCAGATTGTGGAATAGTTTCTGTAATTGCTGAGAAAGACCTAGAACTGACACGAACTGCTCTATGTGTCCTTTTCAGTAAAAGATCTACACTGGTAAGTTTTCTGTAGCTGTATATTTTATTTGATCTTAGCAAAAAAGATTTTTATGATGAATTAGGCTGTGGAATCCTTGGTTTCGACAAATACTTTGGGGCTTCATTTTCTTCAGCACTATTAATAAAGTTGGTGTTGTGGTTATAATTGATTCCTTTTAGGAGACGGCTGCATGCTTAAGAGAAGAAAATGTTGGTAGATTGCATTAGCTTGACAGCCAACGCATCATTGGTTGTCATATTTAATTATCTATATTGTGGAATCAAGGCTGCAATTGATATTATCCTAGTTTTCTACCTCTTTGGATTTGGAGTACCACGTGCCAGTGTTAAAACGGGCTAGCAGTCCTCTGAGATTTGTATTTTATTTTATCACCATGAATTTGAGTATCCTATATGTCTCTGCTTTTGCTGCGAGTGTTGGTCACTATTTATGTTCAACTTTCAGGGAACAATGAAATCATATTGGTCAATTCAAGCACTGAAGTAGGCCTTATAATGCCTTAGGGCTTGTAATTGAGAAAAAAGGTCAGCACCTGAGTTAGGATGAAACTTTCAAACAATCAGAGTCCTTTCTTGGTTAAAATGGACTAAGTTTTTGAACCATTCTTTTAAACACTACGTGTAGGCTTCCGCTGGAGTGCTTGGTATAGAGAATGGACTATTGTCATTGGCTGAGCACATAAAATGCATAAATGCTAGGATTTCAGGAATATTAGTTATTTCACACGATTCATTGCTGATAAATGCATTTTGAAAGCTCATTCTCCCCATTCTTGTATAATTTGTCGTATTGCAATATCTCACAATTCAACATTCTTGGTCTTTTGCCGCGTGACCTTTTGTGATTCTTCGCATATGATCTCTTTCTTCTTGATGGTTCAATTTTTGGTGGGTTCTGATGTCGATGCTAATGTCTGCTTTATCATTTCAAGTTTCAAGAATAATGACTTCCACCATTCTTTCTTCTGGTAGTGTCTTCAGAAGCGAGTGATACAAGATGAGGTTGTCCTTTGTGACCAAAATATTCAGAAGATTTTAGAAGGTACGGTGCTTATATTAATCATGAATCATTGTTGTAGATTCTTAATGCAATGTGTAATTACTTTTATTTCACAGAACACAAGAATTTGAACTCTCTTCCAGAAATACATATGTTCAATTTGGAAAGTGAGCTGGTGGTGGACATCACTGAAAGGGGGGTGCGTGTCAAATTCTCTCTGCTTAGTAGAACTTCAAAGCAAACTAGGATATCTATTTTAATACTTTAGCTTTCAATTTTCTTTCCTTTATTGTGTCATGATGTTTGTAGTTTCATTAGGCATTTATTCCCCTAGCAGTTTAGCTCTAGGGGTCAAGAAAGTGATGCAGATTTAGATATATATACCACCAAATAATCAATCTTATTTAGATGTCCCGTTGGATACCATCCAAAGAGAATTCTTCAGTAAATGTTGGATAGAGATCTTCTATGCAACTAGTATTGGCTAAACCCCTTCACTTTTAATTGCCTCTCTGTTTAAGTGAAAATTTTGTAGCTTGGTGATACATTTGATAGCAGGGTTTCTTCACTTGTAACTATTTCATTCTTTGGGGTTTGGTAGGTTGGGATCAGTGTCTTAGACTAGATTCAATCCACATTCAAAAGGCGATCGGTGATAATTTAGCTGTGATTGTGAAAAGTTTCTATAATACTCAATCATCCTTTCTGAGAATAAAGAGGATGTTCCCTAAGATGGTCGTTTATTGAATGATGTATCCTCTTCAACATATAATATTATAAGTGAGAAATATTGAGTCGGTTCTATGTAAGGGCACATAGCATCACACTACGAGAATAACAGTCGAGTTCTTTCGTTTGTGATTTGGATCTTAAAGATTCAACTGGTATATATGTTTATGGCCACTGACCCTCCTCATAATCACATTAGGCAAGGAAGATGCTTTGGCTCTCAAGTTAGATGCTGTTATAGAGGGTTGCAAGAAGATGCTTGAAGGAGATTCTACTGAGAATGTGGATCAAGAAGTATGATGCAGTGCTTATCCAAGCTAACTTCCATTGAAACTCTTATCCTTTGTTTGGGAATCTGCCCCTTGTTTGTTTATAGTTCGTCTCTTTATGCGTTGCTAAGTGGATCATGATCCAAATGATGAAGATATATATTTCCAGGATGTGAAGGTTCCATTGTGGCTGTCCTTTTTGTTTGTTTGTTTGTTTGTTTTTTTTTTTTTCTGAATCTCGCCGTTCACAAATCCTCTCTTATTCACTGTTGTTTTAACTTAATTCAGCCAGTCACATAGGGGCTAATGAGAAAAAAAATGGGTTCAACATGAAAAGTTGAGCATTTTCTTTTTTTGGTTGAAAAGAAAAGAATTCTTTCCGAACCGCTAGGAGCATTGTTCACCTTGAAAAGAAAGGAAATCTTTTCAAAACTCTAGGAGCATAGTTCACCTCTTTTCTTCCTATCATTTTTTCAGTCTGTGTTCCCTTCTAAATACTTGTAGTACACCGTAGACAGTCCAACTTGCAATGCTGTTGAGACACCCTTTGAACTGGGAGGATTAAATCGAGAATGATTCATACCCTACATGCTTAATTGTGGCTGTACCTTAGGATCACTACCTTAAATTAACCACCGTTTAACTACTGTATAGTGATGACAAGACGCGAGGAGTACACATGGAGTTTGTTATCTGTGACTCGTTTGGGTAGTTTATCTTCTATTACAGTGTGCAAATTATCATAGTGAGATGCGAGTTTACTTATTTATGCGGCGGTTACCCAAAAAAGAAAGAAAACGGAAAAAATCGGAGAAAAGAATTCGTCACTCAAACTTGTTATCTAGGACTTGTTTAGGAGTCTATCTCTGTTGGGATGTGAGGACTAAATAGGCAAATCAAACACACTAGCTACTCAACACAAGCTAGCTTAAGTGCAGCGGAAACAAATCAAGGCCTCTCCAATTTACAAGAATCTAGTAGAAGCAAAAAATACCAACTACACCAAGTGGAAGTAAAGCTACCAATGAAACAACAAGAAAAAGCAAAACAACACACAACACCAATTTACGTGGAAAACCCCCTTCGGTGTGAAGGAGTAAAAACCACGAGACCAAAAGGCCTATCAAATCCACTAATCGCCAAATAAGAGTAGGAGTACACAATTGAACAATAACCAAATAATTTCTAGTCCTTAACGAGCCTACAAAGGCACTTCAATCATAAATACCACATCAAAGATGCTAAAATATCCAGAAAACCAGCAGTAACTTCAAAAGTACCAAATTCACAATCTAACCAACAAAAACCAAAATCATTTGGTGGAGATGTAGATCAATAAGTCTTGTAACTCCAGTCCAAATTTCAGGACCAATGGATAAAGATTGTCCTTCCAAACTTGAAGAATTCAGACGCTACTACAGTGGAACCCTTGCTGGAAATATTCAGCCCCCTCTCTCTCTTTTTGGTTATGTTTTTTTTCCGTAAAATGGCTGCATTGCCTCATTCTGATTTTGGCTGCATTTTACTAACCCTTAGTGGACTCAAAAGTTGGGTTGATGACATAACAAAAGTTGGGCATACTAGTTTAATTTACTTAGCCTTTTGACCCACATAACTGGGAGCCATCCCAACAAATCTTCCCCCTCCCGACTATGTAAAGGAAATTGCTATCCGGGTAATGACACAACAAACTTCAAACTTACATTTGGCAAAATATTAGTCATCATATTAGCCCCATTATCATCTGATAACAGTAAAATATATACATTTTTAGCAGGTATTTATTACTCATTTTTACTTAGTATTAGGTGTTAATTAGTTAGGATTAGTTTACTTTTAGGGTGATTTTGCAGTTCAAGTATCTCATAGGGCCAATGTGGAAAATCAGTATAAATGAGGGCTAAATTGCACAAAAGGGTATCAAAATAGACTGGAATGGAAGCTACTGGAAATTGAACTGCAGGAGGATTGATCAGAGCTTAAGCAAGTGGAGAAATCCTTACTGTGAAAGGAAGATTGATAGCAGATGGACTCAAGTCGAAGACTCTGCAGTAGCTACCTCAATAGAAGAAGAAGAAATGGCAGCTGCTCTGCTGCCCAGTTGCTGTTGCTGTTGTCAATCAGGAAGAGCCAAGGCTGAATTCTTGCTGCCAAAGGAAGGAATTGTTTCACCATCACTGCAAGTTATAGCTGCTACAAGTTGAAGAAGAGAAAGAGGGAGAATATGTTGAAAGCAGCAGCTACAACCTGCTACTTACCTGCTGTGAGTGCTGCTGCTGAATTGATGGATTGGCTGCTGTAGTCAGATGAGAAATGAGGTTGCAAGTGATCACAGGTAACAAGGAAGGAAAAGGTAGACAGACTTGGGCTGAATTGGGGGCGGAAACACAATGATGGAAGGAAGCATGTTGCTGATATTGTTGCTTGCTACTGCAGCAATATATAAAGCCTCACCCCAAAATGACTGAGGAAGCTTAGACTCCAACAACATGCATCGAACCCGATCCATCAATGTTCTATTCATTCTCTCTGCCAACCTATTCAATTGAGCCGTCTTGGGTGGTGTTTTTTTGGTGTCTGATCCCCTATAGCCTACAAAACTCCTCAAATGATCCACGGTATTCACCACCATTGTCTGTCCGGATGCATTTAAACTTTTTTTCCAGTCTACCTCTCAACTAAAGCTTGAAATTCTTTGAACTTCTCAAGCACCTGATCTTTGGTCTTCAAATCATAGACCCAAAGCTTCCTGGAATGATCATAAATGAAAGTCACAAAATAAGATGGATAAGTGCTTTACCTTCAAAGGACCACAAACATTTGAATGCACAAAATCTAACAAGTTTGGTTGCCTATGAGGATGATGAGTCTTGAAGGATACTTTGGTCATCGTCTCTTCAAGACAATGTGAGCTTTATTAAAGCTAGAATCCCTAGCTCCAGGAAGAACATACTTCCTCACCAATACATCAAGTCCCTTGGCACTTATGTGACTCAATCTTCTATGCCACAACTCTAGTGAACATGCCTTATCCACCACATTAACTGAGTCAACCAAAATTGAAGCTGGCAACACATACAAGTTTTCGTTCAATTTTGTTCCCTTAGCCAAAATCATAGACCCCTTGCTGATTTTCCATATTCCACCAGCAAAATTGTTGCCATAACCATCATCATCAAGTCTTCCAAAGGAGATCAAATTCATCCGAACTTCTGGAGCATGCTTTACATCTTTAAGTAGCACTATGGAGCCATTGTTCATCTTTAGATATACATTTTCAATGCCAACAACCTTGTCAAGACCATTGTAAGTGACCAAAATGACCTGCAGTGTAAGTGCTAAAAAACTCCCTTCTGGAAGTAACATGGACAGCAACCCCTGAATCATCAATCCAAGTAGAATCAGAAGCAACCAAATTAACATTACAGTCATCATACACAATGATAAGGTCATCACTGGTAGCTGTGATAACACGGCCAGACTTACTTTCTTCAGGCTTCTGAGTTGCTACTTCCTGCTCTCTTTTTGCTCTTCCATATCAAACAATCTCTCTTGATGTGACCAGACTTCTTACAAAAATAGCACTCTACATTCTTGTGTTTCCCTCTGGACTTGCTTCTACTATTTTTCCTATTGCAATGCCCTCTACTTTGCTGTCTCCCCCTTTGCTCTGTAACCAAGACCTCAGTATGAGATAACACTCCCTGAGTTCTTCTTCTAATCTCCTCATTGGGAATTTCACTTTTGGCATAATCAAAAGACATTTTATTTTCAGGAGCAGAATTTGTATGTGAGACCCTAAAAGTCTCCCAAGAGTCTGGCAAAGTATTCAGCAACCATGAACCAAGTATCTCATCTTCAAATGTAACTCCAACATTAGACAATTGATCCAGCACACCTTGAAACTCATTCACATGATTAGAGATAGGTGTACCCTCAGCATACTTCAAATTGATCAACTACTTCAAGCAACACAACTTGCTATTGCCTGTCTTAAAAACATACATCTTCTCAAGTGTCAACCAGAGTTCGTTTGCATTTGTTTCATTTGCCACAAGATTTTTGACATTGTCATTTACCCACATTCTGATGAAGCGACACACATGCTGGTGCTCAAACTTCTATTCTTCATCACTTTTAGAATTCGGCTTACCCGAACTAAACACAGGTAATTGCATACTTTTAACAAACAACAAATCTTGCATTTTACCCTTCCACGAGTGATAATTTATACTAGTTAAAGATACCATATTACTACAAGTAACATCCATAGTATTAACCTCCATAATTCAAATAAATCAACTCAAAGTCACCAACCTGTGGCTCTTATACCACTCTGTTGGGAGGCGAGGACCAAATAGGCAAACCAAACACACTAGCTACTCAACACAAGTTAGCTTAAGTGCAGCGGAAACAAATCAAGGTCTCCCCAATTTGCAAGAATCTAGTAGGAGCAAAAAATATCAACTACACCAAGTGGAAGTAAAGCTACCAATGAAACAATAAGAAAAAACAAAACAACACACAACACCAATTTACGTGGAAAACTCCCTTCAGTGTGAAGAAGTAAAAACCACGAGACCAAAAAGCCTATCAACTCCAATAATCGCCAAATAAGAGTATGAGTACACAATCTAACAATATTCAAATGATTTCTAGTCCTTAACGAGTCTACAAAGGTACTAGAATCATAAATACCACATCAAAGAAGCTAAAATATCCACAAAACCAGCAGAAACTTCGAAAGTGGAAAAATCACAATCTAAATGACAAAAACTAAAACCCTTTGGTGGAGATGTAGATCAATGAGTCTTGTAACTCCATTCCGAATTTCAGGACCAACAGACAAAGATTACCCCTCCAAACTTGAAAAATTCAGACACTGCTACAGTGGAACCCTTGTTGGAAATGTTCAGCTCCCTCTCTCTCTTTTTGGTTCTGTTTTTCCCGTAAAATGGCTGTATTGCCTCATTCTGATTTTGGCTGCATTTTACTAACCCTTAGTGGACTCAAAAGTTGGGCCAAACTTATTTAATTTACTTGGACTTTTGACCCACATAGTTGGGAGCCCATCCCAACAATCTCTTATTGCGATCTATAGATAATATTGTGATGCAAGTTTATTCATCCCTGATGGGTCTTGCCTAAAAATGGAGAAACAAAAATTAACATATTGAATTAAATGTCATTGGTTGAAGAATCCTACGAGAAGTTAGATTCGACAACGCATGCAAACAGCTCAGAGTTGTGTATACAATGAGATCAGGAAGGAGTCATCTATTCTCATGTTCTCTGGTATCGTTAATTATTTCAATTGGGTGATTGTTACTCATCCACATTAAGCACTCTTGCAGCAAACAATTGATGAAAAAAATTTAGATAAAAAGTATATATTCTCTGTAATCTATGTGACTAATAAGAACAGAATAATCAGAATAAATTGTGGAGTTTTGAATGATGATCTCTTGGAAGAATTATGGTCTAATCAAACTCAGTACGATACAGATTTGGCATACAGTAGATGGGAGGAAAAAAAAAACAGAATTGGCCAGAGGGTTTTACAGACAATGTACATTTCTTTCTCATTTAAATAAGAGATTTGAATTCCAATGATGATATTGTAGGGATGTACATTGCTGAAACTGGAGGCAAGTTGATGGAGTTGAAATTCAGGAGCAGTCCGTTATTGGCGAGCTGATGAACTAGTGTGTCACGTGTCAATCTTGAGTTTGGGAGGAAAAATAGTGAACCACAAGCTGCCACCTCATCTATGTGTATGATATTTTAATAGGGTAAATGAATGAATGAAATGGCTCGTTATTTTTTATATTGCTATCCAATTACTAAATCAACTATCTACTTTTATCATTTTTCTCCGAAAATTCAAAAACTAATGAAATAAATATATAATATAAATAAAATATCTCTAAACTTGTAAAATAATTATAATAAAATAATATTAAATTAATGAAATTTTTTGCGATAAATTGTTATGAGAATTAAAAGAAATGTCAGATTACTTATTTTTCTTTTTCAGTCCAACTCTTTGTTTTACCCGACTAACCGTTTTCTCAAACTCTAGAATTTCAAAAATAAAAGAAAATAAAAAGAATTGGCTCAATTGAAAGTGTAGGAAAAAATTTGTAAATCTTTTTCTTTAAAATAATAAATAATCATGTTTAGTTGGAATGGTGACCGGATCCGATGAATAGGACTAATTTTGAAAAAAAAAAGATTCAGGACTAATTTTTTCATGTGAAAAATGATAGAGATGAAAATTGAATCGAAAAATAGTTTAGGGATTAAAAAGATCGGACATCCATAGAATTATATTGGTTAGACGATATTTTTTGAAATTCTTTTTTAATATTTAGAAACACAATGCGGAAATTTTAAAAAAGAAGCGAAGTAAAGAAACAAAAAGAAATTTAGGTTTGATTTTATTTAAGGGTTAAATGCAAGGCCCACAAAAAAATACACATCTCATGTCTTTTTTTTTTTTCAAAATTAATTATGCTAATTGATAATGTCATGTAATTTTTTGCCATGTTTTAAAATTAATTTAACTGATTAATTATGCTAATTAAATTGTTATTTTAGTCCTAAATTTTGAAAACATACAAAAATCAGAAACATGATAGTTGACTAAGTCAAATGCCAGAAATTGCTAATTTATAACTAGCAGGATGAAATGGACCATAACATTAAACTTTAAGATGACATTGAACACATTAAATTATTTTAGAATGAAATCGACCATTTTTCTCAGATTTAAGAGTAAAAGGGATGCATTAGAGCCAAGTACAATCAGAAAAAATATAGAAAGACTGAGAGTTTGAAATCGGCATCTAAACAAGTGTAAGCCTCAATTGGTCTTTAACTTGACTTTTCGTCACTATTAATTGAAAGCTTTTTAATGATTTTTGCCTTGGCGATAAGATACGACAATAACTTTAATAATGTTGAGGGTTTGATTATCAAAAATCAATTTTCAAATGAAAATTTGTTAATATTTACTTTTCACTTTTTTTACTTCTTATTATAAGGAGATGAATTTGCTGGCTCTCACCAAAAATTGAAAAAATAAATAAAAATCCGTCTTCTCTCTTCCCTGCTCTAATATAAACTAGATGCTTAGCCCAGGCGATGTCCGGCTGGCCCCTTGTACTTTACTATAATATTGATAATAATAAATATACATAAGAAAAATAATGTGAATAACTTGTTATCATAAATAAAAATATTGTATATTCTATAAATGGTAGTATTCTGTAAATTGCTCCAGAAAATGTAACAATGCATAAAACATTGTACTAATTCCAACTATTTACCCCCTAAAGATGATACTGATCACAGAAGGTTCAGAATCATCAACATTGAACCCCCCTTGGATCAATCTTCACTGCATTAGTACCATCTTCCATCCGAATCGATATCATCATAATAATACTTGGGACAACCAATAAATGTGGGCAAACATCATACCATGAAGACCAAATGGAGCTTCCTGGATATATCCTTACTATTCAAAATCACAATTCATTATCTTGATTTCAGATTTTGCAGCCGGCTGTATTGTTCCTGATATTTGGCGGTTGTCCCTGATCCTTATTTCTCGTAGTTGCTACATCCACTAAAAATTAAGAATAAGATACATATTTGCAATAAGCATACTTGACCACCAGAATTCATTACCAAAAAATAAATAAATAAAATAAAATAAACTGAAAGAAAATGCTATCTTGAGGAGAGGTTCCCGAACATTATCTGGAAATTCATCCACTCACATTTCATAACTATCGTTTTGATCTTTGTTGGTTGGAAACCCTAATCTAATTGGTGCTAATTAACCTGGTTAAGAAAACAAAAAACCTTAGTGTGCACATAAAAATACTTACCTTTTTTTTCCGAATAAAAATACAGTACTTCAAAAAGGGGAAAAATACTTTCAATAATGCATTTTCAGAATTCTTGGTATGTGTAATATGGTATGCACACACAAGCAAATCAGAATCCAAATCTACCATAGGTGGAATAGTAATCAAGTTTTTCACTGGTGAACAAATGTTATCGTCAATTGCCATTGTAGGAGAAACCTCACATAGAACACTTACTGCAATAACATGAAACAACTTTTATATATATATAGGTGGAAAACAAATTTTATCGTCAATTGCCATTGTAGGAAAAACCTCACATAGAACTTACTGCAACAACATGAAACAACTATATATATATATATATATATATATATATATATATATATATATAAAGGAAGCCGAGGCTTGGGTACAAAAGCCCTATCGTGATATGGTACTGGAAGTACTATACGACGCTAAACTATTGACTATGCTAGCGGGTAGTGTTGACAAAATATGTCTACCTACTGAGCATGCAAAGCCATATTTTGCTAAAGTATCCGCCACCCTATTTTGATGACGACGCACATGGCTAATGGATACATGCCAGTTGAGGCGGAGTAACCCTCTAATCCTGCTCAAAACATTACTCTGAACAGAAGTATACTCTTTCTTAGACAGATATTCAACAGCCTTTAAACAATCTAATTCTAATTGAACTCTCCTAATACCAAGATCCCACACAATTTGTAAACCATGAAACAACTTTCATGAGTCAACTTTCAGAATTCAATGTTATTGGCAAGTACCATTAAGTAAGCATGTTTAAAAACCTGAAGAAAACCTAAAAAACCTTTGCTTTTTAATTCTGCCAAATATTTGTCAACAAAAAGGTTTCATTGATCAAGCCAAAGAATGGAAATTTACCAGGATAGATCAGATGCCAGTTCATTAGCTTCAGCCTGAAGAATACTTCCTCTTAGCGGAAGAGAATCCAATAGTAACTAACGCCAAAATAAAGTAAATACTTTTAGTACTCTAGGGATGATTTAGAAATAGGAAATCAACCTTCCCCCAATTTAAATTTACCTAAATAAAATAAAGATTAAAAAAACAAAATACATTAACACTTACCCAAACATCATCAATCATCAACCCTTTCTCTGTTTTATAACAAATGAAATAATGAAACCTAGGAAAAAAATTATCTTGGATATTAGCGGCGGTTGGGTCTACTTTCATTTGTATATGAACGAATTTGCCAAAGGAAAATTTACTTATACATATCTAAAAAAAAATTATGAAAAACAAACTAGACCTAGTGTTTTAATTGTAGACAAAAGTAATTTTTTCGCGCTTCAAACACGCAAAAAAACAAAAAACGTGTTTTGAAAACGCTAAAAAAATAATTTCGCGTTTTGAAAACGCTAAAAATCAGTTTTCGCGTTTCAGAAACGCTAAAAATGAGAAATCGTAATTAATTTAACTTAATCCTAATTAATTAATGGTAAAAGAATTGAATAAATAAAGATTCGCATTTTCAAAGCGCGAAAAAAATAAAAAAATATTTTATTTAAATAAAAAAAGGAAATAGTCATAAAAATTTGATTAATTTGCCTAGTTTAAAAAGTTATAGGGAAATTTACTTCAAAAAATTATTAAATTTGAATAATGGTAACACAAAATTTTGAAATTATAATTGGTAATCATTAAATTTTGAATAGAGCTATAAAGAGGAAAATTATATTAATAATTTTAATAATACGAAAATTAAATTTTGAATAAGAATATAATATTATAATTGATACTCATTAAATTAAATAGAGCGATACTAAATATAAATTATTAAAAGTATGATATAGTTATTATAATGTATTAAATTTTTTAAAACTTATATAAAAAATTTAATAATGATTATATTAAAAAATTATATTAAATATTTAAAAAATTATATTAAAAATGTAATCATTATTTTATAAAATAATTTTATATGAAAAATTTTCAATAATGATAAATGACGTAATTTTATGGATTTAATTAGATGTAATTTAATTTACAAATTGTTTTTATTAATTATGACGGTTCAATATAAGAAAAAAGCTTAAAATATGAATACATTTTATTAGATATTTATTATAATTTACCAACGCTTAAGATGAAGCAATTATTGTCTCTTCTTCGGAAACCTCACAGGGGAGACAGCAAAAATGTCAAAGCAAGGACGCGGAGGATCGGCGGGTAACAAGTTCAGGATGTCTCTGGGTCTTCCAGTGGTTGCGACGGTGAATTGCACCGACAACACATGGGTAAAGAACCTTTACATCATTTCAGTGAAGGGAATGAAGGGTAGGCTCAACCGTCTCCCTTCTGATTGCGTCGGTGACATGGTTATGGCCACCGTCAAGAAGGGTAAGCCCGATCTCAGTCAGAAAGAAGGTCATGCCCGCAGTCATTGTCCGCTAGCGCAAGCCATGGCGCCGAAAGGACGGTGTCTACATGTACTTTGAAGATAAAGCTGGAGTGATTGTTAATCCCAAGGGAAAAATAAAAGGTTCTACAATCAGTGGTCCCATTGGAAAGGAGTGTGATGATCTTTGGCCTAGGATTGCAAGTGCTGCCAATGCGATTGTTTAATGCACCGCATCTTAATTTTGAAGAGAACTTTAGTTTACTGAATGTTTGTTTTAGGTATCCGGTACTATTCTTTTGTGGATGTGGTAATTTTAATAGACGGTTGGTATGTAAGAGCTAAGAATTACATCTTTTGTTTGGATAAACTAAATACTTTGTTGTTTGTTTTTTTAAAAAAAAAAGATGAAGCAACTATTAATTATTAAAAAAATATAAGAAAGTTTGAAGATGTGTTTAGATTTGATCGGTGAAGATGTGTTTGATAAATATAATAAAGTAGCAATGATGCAGGTGAAATCAAACTATTAAGAATATTAATACAAGTCATAACAAAATACTACAAGTCATAACAAAAGGGAAAAAAATAAAACAAGTCATAACAAAAGGAAAAAAAAACATAAATGAACAAAAGGAAAAAAAAATAATAAAAGTCTAGTAATACTACATAAAAAGTCTAGTACCTACTTCTTCTTGGGCTTTTTAGCCCGGAAATGGCTATAAGTCAATCTATCGGGCTCCTTCGTCACTCTCTGGCCTTTACTCACAGCCAACGGTGGAGTCCCTAGAGTCTGACTCGATCCCTGCTCCTCATGGCGCTGATAACCCTGACTCACAAACTGATCATCCTGGTCTACATCCTCAGCCTCATCCTTAGCCTCATCTTCACCCTGACTCTCACGCTCACCTCCAGCTGGGTCATCAGCCTGATGCTGACCCGCAACACCCTCGAACATACTCGAAAGAAAGTTACTCGTGTAATGTATCGACTGGCCATCTAGCGAACTCTGCTGGAACCCAGAAAAGTCAATAAAAGCATCTCCAAACTGAGGCTGAGAAGTCTGAGGGGAGGAAAACTGAGTGAAGGCAAAATGGGACTGCTGGTGCTGGGGAGACATAATGGGACGGTAAAACACCTGTTGGGTCGGCGAAGAATGATGTGGAGACTGATGTGGAGACTGATGGGATGAATGATGTGGAGACTGATGGGATGAATGCTGTAGAGAATGGTGTGGAGAATGATGTGGAGACTGATTGGATGAACCGTCAGTGAAGGGGATATGAGACTGCTGATGCTGGGAGGACTGATGTGGCTGAGTGGGCGTGATTGTCTCTTGTCCTCCACGACCACGTTGAGACCTGCACGAACGCCTCGGAGGTCTGGGTGGTGGATGTTGCTGGGTCGGGTCTGCAGGTGTAAGTTCTTGACTCAAAATGTCATTAACCTCAACATGCCTATCGAGATCGTGACGTACAACATTCGTTGCATTGACGGACAACGCCCGCTCAGCAACCTGGGCAATCTCGCCTAAGCGATCATAACCAAAGGAGTCCGCGTCGACAGTACGCTGGCCTATAATACTCAGACTACGAACGTCCTCCATCAATGTGGCTTGATATTTTTGTTAGAAAGAATCATAAATCGATAACAGTATTAATAAATTACATAATGGACTGTAGGCGAAATACTCACCATGAGGCGCAAGGTCTCTGCAGAGCCGTGAAAACCCCTCACATTTTCAGAGTCCGTCGGATCCGTAACATACTTTACAGTAACCTGATGGTACCACAAGAGATACTCCGGATCTGCGGTTAGCTCACCAACATAATCATCATCAGTCCCCACAAGTCTGCCGTGGTGATCATTCCAAACCTGGAGATATATCCCTAGTTGTTGTATCCATCTCCTATGGGATCCTCCAAACGGCTTCCTCTTGAGTAGGTTAGTAATTTCCCACGCAGTGAGAAGCAATGCGTCGCCGGGTATCCGCTGGTGATAACCAAATTGGCGAAATACCCTACTGGGGTTGTGTTGCGCAACGACATCACCGCAGATGAGCCATGTCTGAGATCGCCATATGCCCTGTCCCACAAGACAAACCCTGGCAATACGGCCCAGAAGAGTCGTATACGGCATCCATACAAACTGCAGTGGTAATATAGTAAGACACGCATAATTAAAAGTCCAGCACCATTAAAAAAATCGAATAAAAAATATGTTACAATAATTGAAATGAATACTAACATCTGACTCTGCGAGAACTGCAAGCTGATCCCGGTACGCGGCCAAATTGAACCGCGTGATACCTTGAACTTTTTTCTCACGGGACCACCTGCACGGATAAATTAACATTAAATTGAGACATGACAGTACAAATCACAATGTCAAAATGTCCGGAGGTTTGATGTATAAGATTACCTCGTGCCCAATGGACAATGAGAAAGATCGAGCTCCCCACCCAGTATCTTTGGCTGAACCGTCAAAATCCGCTCCCAGGCCCAGAGCTAATTCATAATGTATGGATCATTAGCTAATATCCCAAATAATTATGGGAGAATATAAAATGAAACTAGAGAGAAATGAAAAGATAAAATACCTGAAGAAGAATCACACAGCCGATAATAGCCTTTGCAGAAGCGGCCAGAGATGACTTGGACATGCTGCGGTACAAGTAACATAGTGCCGTGCTACCCCAACTGTACTCCGAGCAAATCTCGGGAGTATGAAGAAAATGCACAAGATTGAGTGGAAACTGTTTCTCGTAGTGTTAGAGAACGGTAATCCGCCAACTAGCCATCCAACAAAACAACGGGCTCGCTGTAGGTGTGCATCGTCAGGGGACAGGTCCGTCAAAGGATTATTCTCTATGTGAGTCTTTATTTCAGTGATGGAAACGCTCGTCAATCTAGACTCCTCTGTCTGGAACCTAAATCCAAACATCCTCTCCAAATAAGCTGTCCAACCACCTTCAGGCGTGGTGTGATGTCCTGTAACTGGACGTCCATGAACCCGAAGCCCCAAAAGAACCTCAACGTCCTGCAGTGTCATAGTAGCCTCCCCAAAAGGTAAATGAAAAGTATGGGTCTCTGGGCGCCATCGCTCCACAAGAGCTGTAAGCAGGGCATGGTCATATCTTATGGACCCAACTCTAGAAAATGGTCCAAAACCAAATTTCTCAATGTATTCCTTTGTCATCGTCGGTGCATCTTTTATATATTTCCACGCTGCGCTATCTACGCGTCTGGGCTCCGAAATCCCTATATCATACTGTGCACCATGGAATATATTGTGTGACCTATGGGCGTTTTGGAGGAACAACAAACTATTGTCTCTAGGTCCCTGCCGTAGCTTCTTTGAGGTAGATTGGGAGGAAGAAGATGATCCAATGTCCATGGCTATAACAATTTACAAACAATTTTAGTAAGTACGGATTAATATCCATTATTTTTTAGTATCCTATACATTAAAAAATCTGACCCTAAATTTTAGTAAGTACGGATTAATATTTATTATCCTTTTAGTATCCTATACATTAAAAAATCCGACCCTAAATTTTAGTAAGTACGGATTAATATTTATTATCCTTTTAGTATCCTATACATTAAAAAATCCGACCCTAAATTTTAGTAAGTACGGATTAATATTTATTATCCTTTTATTATCCTAATTATCTATATATTTTTTAAAAATTCAACCCAATACCCAACCTTATAAACCCAACACTCTAAACCCACCCTTCTAAACCCAACCCAATACCCAACCCCCTAAACCCACCCCTCTAAACCCAACCCAAAACTCACATTCTAAACCCAACCCAATACCCACCCCTATACACCCAAACCCACATTCTAAACCCAACCCAATCCCTCAAACCCTAAACCCCCTAAGCCCAACACCCCACAACCCTAAGCCCACCCCTAAGCCTACCCCCCTCTAAACCCCGTTAACTAATATTTCTTTCAATTCACTTTATTTGCCTAATTTAAAAACCACCGTTAATTGACTAAATCACAATTATTTATTAATTAATAATGATGCGTAAATCATCCTACGCTCACAATAAGGCATAAAAAAATACATGTTTTCTATAACGAAATAAACTTACCTGAATGTTGAAACTTAGGGTTTTAAATAGGCTTCAGGACTCAAATCAATCTTCTTTAACTTCGGAGCAACTTCTCAATTTGAAGGAAATGAGAGCTTTCACGGATTCAGCCAAGTCCTCTGGAGTGAAACTTAAAACCGGAGCTCAACAGAATGAAAGAAGTTTGGGAAGAAAAATCGGAGCTCAACAGAATGAAAAAAGTTTGCGAAGAAATGCTGTTATTTTGCTTGGTTTGGTATATGAATCTTAAATTTCGCGTTTACAAAATGCGAATACATTCAAGACTTATCATCAAAATACACGTGGAGCCAAATGAGTGGATGAGGAGATTTTCTGGATATTTTCGCGTTTTGAAAACGCTAAAATCATTTTTCGCGCTTTCAAAACGCTAGAAAACTTTTTTCGCGTTTTCAAAACGCTAAATAGTTATTTGCAAACCGCAATTTATTTAAAATTTAAAATTTATAGTTTTTCGCATTTTTAAAACGCGAAAATAGTTTTTCGCGTTTTTGAAACGCGATTTAGGTTTTTCGCGTTTCCAAAACGCAAAAAATGGTTTTCCTTTTTTAAATTAATTTTTTTTTCTTTCGTACAGGGTTCGCGTTTCACAAACGCGAATTGTTAATTTAATTTTCTTGTTTCGCATTTTGAAAGCGCAAGAACATTATATTTGTCCAGTTTTTAAACCCTACACATTTTTTGTTCCACAATTTTGGGTTTGACTCACCCAAAAGTCAAGCACCCATTTGCCGAAGCCTTTGAACAGCCTCTTTAACCTCTTTAAAGCGCAGAACGACGATTTAATGATCGGCGGGAATCAATGCAATTGTGCTTTAGAATTCCGCAGATTTGATTCTTTTATTGTTGCCGTTGATCTATTTCTTGGCTACTGCTAGATCTATTTCCAGTGAAGTCAGCTTCGAACTGATCTCCACCACAGACTGGCCCGTGCCTCTTGTTGTCGATTTTTTTTCTTTTTTGCATAAACACAACAAAACTACTAAATGAAACTGGATGAAATCATAAGTCTAAACAAAACAGTTAAACGATCCAAATAAAGAAAATAAAATCAAGAGAAAAAAATAAAAAACAAACTAAAAATAAAATCACCTACGGGATCTAAAGATTGATCGGAGCAGAAGACGGTGATGGATTAAAAAATTTCTTCGCCTTGACTAAAAAAATATAGTGAACAATAGGAGAGATACGGCGAAACCTTATGGCTGGATTTGTGAAGAGAGTCAGTCACCCGTCAACGTCATCATCGAATTTGAAATCTCCAATGGATGCTTTTTGTGACCAAGATTCACTAACTTCAGACCATATCAACAAAACCCATCATCATCAATTGCTGTTTCTTCCTTGTGATGTTCCGGTCGTACTTGCGGCCGTTTTGCCACTGTCGCTGCTCAATCTCGCCACAAAACTGAAACATCTAATTTGAACCCGTGAATTTTGTGGTGATCGTGAGTTATCGTATCCCTGGTTTTAGGGATTTGTGGTTTTTGATGGTGATCGAATCCGTGAACAAATTTTCTATTTTTAAAGTGATGGTGATGGCTGAAAATTTAGAACGTGAAAAGGGAATAATTTGTTTTAAATTGATGGTGATGGCTTGTATGGTTGTTGTCCCCGTGCTGCTGAATTGAAGAAGTGGCAAAGATTTGATGTTAAAGGTGAAGAATTTGTGTTGAGGAAGCCATTCATCCGGAGTAGATTTTGGGACTTTATTGTAACGCGTTATTGGAACTAAAATTGGGGGAGCAGTTATTAGAGTGGAAAGGATGAGTATTAAATGAGATAATTGATTTTGTGAAAAGAAGCAGTATTGTATGATGTCACTTTTTTTTAGTAATTTTAATATTTTGCAGTTTAGGACTTTTGGAGAATGACATATTTAACATGGGATTTGAATGTTTTACAGATTAAAAGGGGATGATATCATGCAGGAGTGTCAATTCCTGACACGACGACACAATTTACAGAGACAATCCGACACGACACGACACGACATGATTGACACGATTTGAATTTTTATCGCATTTTTGTTTTAAAAAATCTTATTAATCCTGTGAAATACAAAACACAAAATTAACCTATTAACTCGAATCGACACATACACCAACAAGATATGGATGCTAAAATTAGGGAGCAAAAAATAAGGAGTTATTTTTTAGAGTATTCCTATTATGTTTTCATAGCCGGTGAAACGGCTAGAGATGAGAGTTTTTTTTTAAAAAAAGAATAAAATAGAGGACTTTGTACTTTTTAGAGCCTTTCAGCTATGCCACGTGTAAATTTTTTTTGTATAGGACTTTTGGGTTTTAAAGGGAAAATATTTAATGTGGAGCTGCCAAGTGTCCTCAAAGGTTTCTGCTTTAAGTAAATGGAGGGGATATGCACTCACCTTTCTAGAATTTCAATTCCGCTCTTTACATTCAATTTTGTTTTCAATGAAAAGTTTACATTATAAAAAACTTAATCCCCAATTCACGGTACAAACTCTCTCGGCCGCCCCTCTCTCCCTCTCCAACCCTAAAACCCTAAATAAAAAAAACTCCATCTTTTCTCCCATCTTTCCACCATGGAAGGATGGGGGAGATAATTCTCTCCCGATCCTTACACTTTTTATTATTGTTTAATTTATTTTTCAATAAGTGAGATTATAATCTCCTGTACTAGTTAGGTATACGACTTCCTTATGGATGTTCGCTGGTATGGCAGCGACTTTCCTGGTGATGTTCGTTGGTATGGTGACCTTTTTGTCGGTGATGTTTGTAGGTACGGTGCGGGTTCGTTGGAGTTCGCTCGTATGCCTTTAAAAGATTCAGTTATCATAGATTTAGTTGTTAGATCTAGAATTTGGGAGTTTCAACTGATTTTTAGTGTTGTATCTTTGTTTCGGCACGTGATACAACCACTGCTTGATAGGGTAGATCTATATAGGTTTATCTATATGAAACACAACAAAGGCACTATGATTATGGCCAAATGTAAGTTGTGTTTTTCTGGCTGTATCTTTTCTTATCAATCGCTGTTGGACGGTTTTCAGTAAATTAATAAATTTTATTTCTCAAAAAAAAAAGTTTACATTCCATTGAATTGATTATGGTACCTTAAAATTAATCCTCTTCAAATGGAGACGACTCCATGGTTCACTCGTAGATGGCACCATCATTTTGATTTTTTTTTAAAATTCTTTTTTGGCACCATCATTTTGATAATGATAGTTTTGTTCCGGTTATTTTTTCACATGTATGTTGAATATCTTTTCAGAATCGATAGATATCATGACAAAATTTAACGAAATCAAATAATTAACTTTTCACCGTACAATTTCCATTGCGTTTTTCTGGGTCTCATCCATACTACTTACTTAAAGCAACAAACATTTGGGACACGTGTCAGCTACATATTAAAAAATTTCCCTCCAAAGCACCACAGGCATCCTCATCCATCATACAGTACAAAACATATACAATATATGAAAGCCACGTGGCATCCTATATGATCAGTAAATTTTAACTCTGCAGTAATCGTTTTTTACAAAATTACAGTCCATTTGGTAAATTTAAATGAAAAAAAGTTGAATTAATAATTTTATTCATGGAAAGTAACAAATTTAAAGCACGTAATCCCTTCATTACAGGGGAGTTGACGTAATCCCTTTAATACAAGGGTGTAAAATGATACATGGTGATAAAATCTTCCATATTATGCCTCCACAAAATGCTCCACGATATCCAGTCCAGTTTTTTTGGTGATAAAGAGTGAGGAAATTACTCTTCCATGAAATCAGCCCGCATTTACCTTCAAAGTATCCCAACAAACATAATCAAAAATTGTAAAAATCCAATATGAATTCAAATTCATCTTCAAAATCCTTCCTATATAATTATCAAAAACGTGTATAACTTCTATAACAACTTCAACAAAGTTATTCAATACCCAAGAACCATACCTTTAAATGCTATTTTCTCATTTGTTCCCATGGATCCTGAATTGGTATCTCCCAAAGATGTGGTTCGTTCTTCTTCTTTTTCTTCCTGCAAAGCACCACAGCCATCCTCAGCCATCATACACTACAACACAGATACAATATACGATAGCCACATGGCTTCTTATATGATGAAAATAGCATTAACTCTGCAGTAATGATTTTGTACAACATTACAGTCCATTTTGTAAATTAAATTGAAAAAATACGCATTTAAGAAATAAGCCATTACAGGGGAGTTGACGTAATCCCTTCAATACAGGGGAGTTTACTGATATATGGTGATAAAATCTTCACCTTCATGCCTCCACAAAATGCTCCACGATATCCAGTCATTTATGTCATAAAGAGTGAGGAATAGTCTCTTCCATAAAATCACCACGCATTTACCTCTAAATTATCAAAACAAACATAATCAAAAAATGTGAAATTCAAATATGAATTCAAATTATTCTTCAAAATCCTTCCCATATAATTATCAAAAACGTGTATATTTTCTATAACAACTTCAACAACATATTTTATCAACAAATGAGGGTCCATGAAATCCTCATTTACTCTCTGTAATGGTTGTATAGTGCAGTATTCTATCTCTAGAAATAGATAAGCAGTGAAACCAGTTCTGACATCCCAAAAAATTTATTCAAGACCTATAAACGATATCTTCAAACCAGTTGTGACAGCCCAGAAAAGTTATTCAATACCCATAAACCATACCTTCAAAAGCTCTTTTCTTAATTGTTACCATGGCTCCTGAATTGGTATCTCCCAAAGATGTAGTTCCTTCTTCTTCTGTTGTAGAAGATATCATCAGTCCCGAATGACAAACTAAAAAGGATGATGATGGAAACATTAAAACTACATTTGATCCTTCTAAATTCACCAGTGCAACCAAAACTGTAAACCACTAAGTGCCTTTGCTTAACAGTCGTTTGCCAATGAGTAGTCATGTTGATTCTGGGAACGAGTCTGTGGAATCTGAATCAACTGTCAATCTTACTGCAAAGGCTGATCGTGCTCCATCTGTCCTAAATGTTGCGGTATAGAGGTACATTTCTGACATCAATGGGATGATTGATACTGAAAGTATCTATTTCTTTATTGTTGTGCGTGTTATGACACTATGGAAGGTTCCTGAAACTTCAAAGAGCAACAAAATTAAGTCAATGGAAATGACTTTGGTCGATGCTCAGGTAATTTAAACACTCAATTCATGTTATATTCACAGATTAAATAACAGTATGATCATTTCCATAGTATAATTTCACTGTAACTTTATTGGTATATAGGGTAACAAAATCCAAGCTACCATACCTGGTCGATATGTAAAAGATTTTGTGGATTTCTTCAGAGAAGGTTGTGTGGGGAAGTTGTCACGTTTCGATCATGCTTTGAACATAAGTGGTGGATTCCGATGTGCTCAACATGAATACAAAATTGTATTCGAATCAAAGACACAAGTTGAATATGTTATTGATCTTGACATTGACATACCTTTTCATGTTTTCGAGTTTATGCCATTTGCAGAAGTCACAAATTTTGTCGCTAACTTTGATTATTGTTTTGGTAAGAATATCCATATTCAACTTATCATGCAAATTTGTACTATATTTAAATGCATGCAAAAAAATTTATTAATTAATCTAATATTTTAGTAACCATTGTGATTCATGCAGATATGATAGGACACCTTATTGCATATAGTAATCCTATTGTTGACTACGGCAAAAAGAGAATTTCTGTTGAACTTGAAGATGAAAGGTAAACAGATATGTAACAAATTCATTTAGTCATTTATGTTAATGTGTGTATATTTTTCTATGTGTCTAAATGGCTGGATTGGTCTTTCAATTTATCAAGGGCTGACAGGCTTAAGGTAACACTTTGGGGTGAACATGTTGACAGAGTTGTTGATTATATGTCTACAAATCCTTCTTATCCTGTTGTGCTCATTGTTCAATATGTGAAATGCAAGAAGTATTACCGTAAGTAACATAATCTATGCTGCAATATCTGTAATTAAACTTAAATTACTTTAATTTCCTGTAGTTTTAATAACCGATGACATGATTACTGAAACAGCAAAAGCTTCTGTTACTACTAACCTTTTGAATGGAAAGATTTATCTTGATGATATGACAATGCCTGACATTTCTGGATATAAAGACAGGTATCTCACAAAAGAATGTTTATATTATCCATTGGTTCAAGTGACAAGTACAATTGTAAACATGTGGCTAATGAAAATTCATTATTTATGTCATGTAAGAGCATTTGATGATGAAATCAAACATGCAAGCATCCACAGAATATCTCTAATGTCATCTATTTCTGGCTACACAACTTATGAAGATTTCATAAGTGGTGCAAGCCTGTTATCATTAGCTGATATTAAAGACATGAATGAGGTATCAAAAACTGATAAGATTCATTACTGAAATTCCTATTATATTTATCAGATCTTTATCATATCTAACTTTGGAAATTTTGTAATTTTAAAGGCTGGCTATGTTGTGGTTTTTGGTAAGATCACTGGATTAGCCAAAGTGTTTGATTGGTCCTACATAGGTTGCAGAGATTGCAACAAAAAGGTGGAAGAAATTGAAAATGTCAGAGGCAAAAAAACTATAAGCGAAAGGACTAATGCACAGGTTGGAAAGGGAAGGATTGCTGATGGCCAGAAGAAGTTAACAGTTGAGAAGAAATGGATGTTTGGCAACCATGGGCCTGTTTCTGCTGTCGGAGCAAAGTACATTATGTTCAAAACTACTTTAAATACTGACATTATTAAAATCCATGTATATTCTACAAACTTTAAGTATCATACATTTTGATTTTATCCTTCCACCACAGGTTCAAACTTCAGGTTTATGTTATGGATGCTTCTGGAAGTAGAATTGTGACACTGTGGGACAGGATGGTTTACAATTTCATCAATAAGACTGCTGAAAATTTACGTGAGCAGGTATAATATATTTTGTGTTTAGTTGTGTATTTATATCATTGTACTTTCATGTCAAGGTTAAATCAATTTATGTATGTTACAGGAGGGTAATGACTACCCTAAAGTTCTAGATGAATTGATTGGGAAGAAATGTCTGTTCAGGCTGGATGTATCTAATTACAACATACGCAACAGTAAGAGTGAGATATCAGTTTCTAGGGTCACTACTGAGTCAGACATTATTAAGAAGTATCTAAATGATGTCTCTGAAGACCAGGTATAATATGAATTTTAAATGCTCACACTTTAACTGATATATGTTTTCTGTGGTGGTTTCTAAACAATATTCAGAGAAATTTGATATTCATGCAATCATTTAACAGGAAATTAATCCAGAGATGAGCACAGAGTTTTACCAAAATTTAACTCCTACCCAGGATAGCACTGCTAAGGTATTATATATATAGCGTTCACATTGATATCTACAAAACTTATGTCAACATTTTCGTATTTGCGTAGATATGTGTTAGTAGTACTTACAGTTTTTAATGTAAACAAACTGCCATCTCCTGCACTGATGACACAGACATGGGATTGCCAAGCGATGACATGGCAGAAAGTCCTCCTCCGAAGAATAAGATAACATCTGGATCAGGTGAAGAGAGTGTCAAATCCAAAGCCAACAAGCGTGCCAGGAAGCTGTGATGATTAAGGATAGCTATTGAATTTCCTATTTCTGAAAATAAAGAAACAGTTTACCTTCTTATTGTGTTTTTCCGTTGATTAGACTCTATTATAATTCCTCTTATTCTTTTGGGTGCACATATCTTTTGTGATATGGAAATTTGTTTTTTTTTTAATTCAAGTTATTGGAGTTTACATATTATACTTTTCATCCACGGTCATATTTTTACAGCGATGTTTATTATGTAAATTTTATATACACAGGTAACTAATATAAAATGAATAAAAAGATGTAAAGAAAAGCACAGAGAGTTATTATTCAGATAAACTTACCTTTGTAATTTAAAACAAGTTCTATAAATCAGGCTGACAGACAATGTAATTGGTACATCTTAGAACAATGAATTAAATTGGAAATTTAAAAGGTCATTGCCTACAAATCAAGGATTTAGAATGTATTGTTATAATAAATAACTTTTTGATTCCTCAGCTATATATACCTTTTTTGTCCAACTAAGTCTTCACATCGTTCAGAAGTAATAAATCAAGCGTCCAATACAGAAGAACTACAAGTTCATATGGCTAAAAATTGTTTCATCCTTTTGAAAGAAGGGTTTGTTCTGGGACAGGTAAGGTTGAATCCTATTTAAATTTTTTAAATTCTTTATTACATAGTTCAGATGATCATCATACCATAAAGTTTAAAATCTTTTGTTTATGTAGCCAATCCCTTTGGTCAGCTCTCTACCAATAAATCACAACAGTAAGTAAGAAATTCAGGTTGTAAGCAATAATGGTCAATTTACTCTCACAGCTGGTTTCAATTTACAGCATACTTCTATTGTGTTTGTTGGGAAGTCGTGGGTGAATTTTGTCACAGCACATAAATTGATCACTTATTATGCCATGTATATAACTGTTCAAGCACTAGGGTTTCTTCATGTTTTAATTATTGATCGTGATCGTAATCTCATCAACAATTCAGTTTCGCAATTGGCCTGGGACAACTGCAAATATATTAAAGACAGAATGGTAAAATTTTTCACAACTATATAATTTTTCACTCAGTGTATTATCCTTATCCTTTTATTATAGCAATGTTTTCTTTATGAAATCCCATAATTGCGTTTTACATTTATACACAGGTTCTACCAAGTTTATTCAGTGAAATTTTGATGGAAGACCATATGGTGAATCATTCAGATTCATCATTTTGGTCTATTGACTATGGTGAATACACATATAGAATTGATATTGATTATGAAGAAGGTACTTCCGATAACAAAATTGTACTTGCTGGAACTGAATGGAAGAAGTTGTTATCTGATCGTGAGGATATTTTGAAGAACCAACTTTTGCAGTTTTGAAATATGAGGGTAATATGCGTTTCACAATGCAATATTTCAAAGCTGACGGTTCAGAAATAATAGGGCCTATTACTGTAAATGAAGCAGACTGTTTCAAGATTGCTATTTGTGATCATCATTGAAAGAAGAAAGCTTTTGTAAGTTGTTGACGACATATAATTTGATTTCGAGTCAATTGCATAACCATGATTACCAAATTTTGATTTTATTACATTTGTTACAGAATGTTCCTGCTGCATTTTAGAAAAGGCACAAAAAAAATTGTGTCTAAACAAATAGCTGAAATACACACTGCTGCAGAACCTTATCAGATGCATTTTCAAAAATATTATGATCAGAAGTTCATTGGTAAGAAAGTGAACCAATTAAAAATTGCAGGGGACTGGTTGTCATTACTCAATGACAATGCTATACCAACAGGGAGCTTATGCCAATTCCATTTGGACATCGATAGTTTACAACCAGGCAGAATTGATGTAAAATTTGGTTTCAGTGTTTGTAATTGATATAGCATCTTTCAAACTTGAGTTTAAATGAATTCAAATATCTTTTATGATGATTACGGTATATTTCATTTGAATTTCATTCATCCTTTTTATCATAATGTATTTGTTAATAAACTCTTTGTGATAAAAGATGCAACATTAAATACGTTTTCTTTATCAAAGTATAGATATAAATATAAAGTTATCAAATTCAAAATCAATTGTATCTGTAAACAACTGATGTTCAGGTGTAAACATAATCAATTACGTGAAATTACTATTAGATGATTTACTTAAAAATAAATGCTCATGCATTTATAATATTGGTATAAAATGTTAAAGATACACAAAAATTGATCTGAATCTTTCAGATTGTATAAGTGTAATGAATCTCCCATTCCTGTAAACTCTCCATTGCGCATTTATGATATTGGTGTAAAATGTTAAAGATACACAAAAATTGGTCTGAATCTTTCAGATTGTATAAGTGAAATGAATCTCCAATTCCTGTACAGTCTCCATAAAAATATTTTCAGAATAGAATTTTCAAAGTTGTCATTTAATCAAACTTGAAAGACTTCTACATGAACATGGATACAATGTACAGGAAATTGGTTGGTGTTATCCCTAAAAGATTGGTCATTTTATAGTTTAAAGATTGGAATTTAAAAAGTATAAATTTAATAAATATTTAAAGACTTTTAAATGAACGTGGATGCTATGTATATAAAACTGTAAGTTGTTATCCCTAAAAGATTGGTAAAATCATCAAGTAATTGGTAGTTGATTGGTTGGTAATAAATAAATTGTTTTTTTAAAACCAGCTAATTCTAAGGGATTTTAAATAGGTATAGAAATCTAGACTGAACACATATATTCACGTATAACACAAACGAAGTCTTTAAACGTCCATAAAAGCACGAGGAGTTTACAGGATTGACAGGGGTAACAGGTTCAAAAAACGCAGACAAGATGGAATCGGGTTATGATCAATTGGTTTCAGTCCCAACAAACATTCGAACAAAAGGATTGGTAAGTATATATTATATGGCTATTTGTGAACCGATTTTAATTACTTTGTTTATTTGTAATTCTTAGTCATTTTCATCAGATACTTAGCAGCAACCTCACTGCAAATTTAAGACGTGTTGGCCAGCAAATCTTGATTGAATTGCCAGGGATTTGAAGTGTTTTTGCAAACATGCATATTAACAAAAAAAAAAGATGCCAATTATACGGATCTGCACTTGAAGATTTCTTTGCATCCATCGGTGTTTCTCCTCAATCTAAGATTCATGTTGTTTATCACAAGTCTTCTAACGTGCTGCATTTATTCAATTTTAATTATGATGGATGCCAACGATTTTCAGCAGATCTAGATACAAACATTGGATTTCGGTACCTTTTGGATTTAAATCCTAACAATGCTCTACGATGTGTAAGTTTAGATTAATATAATTTTAGCTTCTAATTTCTATATTAATTTTTACGATCTGTTTTGTAATTAAATTTAATGTATTTAATGTATTTGGTTTCCAATTGTAGGGTATTAACCCACAGTACTTTAGGGCCATAGGTTGGCCTTCGAATCAAAGTGTTTCACTGATGCTTGATGATAAACACAAGCAGTGAAAATTTCAGATATATACACAACAGGGTGAACCTGTTGGTTTTGAAGGCAAAATGTAGGAAGAATTTCACGACCTTTACTTTAATCACTTACAAGGTGCAAATGTAATATTCATTTACACAGGGCAATTATACTTTAAGTTAAGGGTTTTTAACAGTGAAGGTTACTGCTGCGACCAAGATATATCTGCTTCATATTCATCTGAAGGTTAAGTCAATTTTCATTTCACCTGCTTAAGAAGTTCAGTCAATTTAATTTATTTAGTTATAAATGATTGAAATTTGTTATTTATTGTTATAGATGAAGTTGACGCAATCGACTACATACGATCTAATAGTGATCAGAATACTTTCAATGTAGTCATGAACACTGATGTCATTCAACGTGGTAGACTGGTGAGCTAATCGCTATGTTGTCAAATGTGTACAAAACAAAACTCAATTAAAAGTCTTCACTTTATGTTATTAGTATCTATATTTAACTTATTTATTTATTTTATTAAAGGAAATACCCTGGCACATTGTCAGAAGACTTGAGATTCAAGACTACAGTAGTTTGATCATATACTATGATGGAGAACCTGTGGTCAGAATGGGCCGAATCTACTTATCTGATTACCCTAATCGCTTCATTGTCGAAGGAGACATTGAGTACATGATGGGTTTAAAAAAGATCCCTACTGGTATCAAGCTTGGATTTCGTATAGATGCTCGGAAGGCAGTTAATAAGGAACATTTGATTTTGGAAGTCATGTAATTGTTTTTTATGTTTATGCCATTTGGAATAATTAATAATATACTCATTATTTCTAATTACAGTCAAAATTATCTATATTTTAATTTTCATGACCAATTTTTAAATCAAATTTTAGAAATTTTATTGATTAGTAACCAATATTAGAATTGTTATTAATTATAGAAATACATTAAAATGACATTCATCTGAACATGTATATTGAAATGGGTAAATAGAATATTAAAGATAGTGAAGTGGGGAATGACTTCTAGATGATGACGAAAAAGAAGAAGCAAAATAAGTTGCAGAACAACAACAAAGCTAAAGTATTTTATATTTTTAAAGTCATATATTTTAATAGTAAACTATCAGAATTTTTTTACTGTTCACATTTATTTAATATTTAAACAGATATATATAATATTTTATTGTATAAATCACAAATAAATAGATATTGATTGCAATATATTTTATGATAACTACTAAAATTAGCTGCATCTATGTTTTCACACTTAACAACCAATATGATAAAGTGGAATACAAGCTTTCCATCAAAAACAATATGTTCTCATTTTAATTCTGAATTCATAGGTCAAATTATAAGTTTTTGTAGACATCAAGAAAATGGTGAACTCTATAGCAAAAGAAGCCAGAGTTTTCAGAAAGCAAATACTAGATAGTAAAAGATTATCAATTATCCATCAGAAACGTGAAATCAAAACAAACAAACCAGGAACAGTTGGTACTCATGTTTCTAAATTTCAGAGTTACGTTGCAAGGATAGAAAGGAAACGAATTTTGTCGCATATCAGAAAGATTCAGAGTTTGAAGTTGCAAGGAATTACTTCATTGGATTTGCCTTCATTACAAACCACTCAAGCTCTGAGTGCTAAATGTGCAAGGATTCAAAGGAGACAAATATTGCAACAAAGGAAACTTAAAAATAAGTCCCAAAGATCATCTACGGCAGTTCCTCCAGATATATTGTTATGGAACAATGAAGTTTTCTGTGGTATTATACATGACATATATATACATATATATATATGTCATTGTTTTGTTTGATTCAATATTTAGTTTTTGAATTTTTTAAAAATTTTTGGTGAAAGAATTTGTATTTTGTTTCTTTGGGTTCTTTTAATCTGTTATTTTCTTTGAAGGGAATGTTAACAATTCAAGAGTCAATAGGAAGCAATTTTTGGACCAGAAAAAGGAAAAGTCGGTCCCAAAAATGACTCCTATTATTAAAGGTGGTGTTGCTATATATGATAAAAGTCAAGGATTTATAAACATGAGTTTGCAACAATCATATCATATTGGTTCTGCTAATTCAACAGGTATATAACATACTTTTATATACATAGTGATTAAAGCATATTTACGATCATACCTCATTTGTTGAATTCCAAATTGATGCTTCTAAGATCCAGGCATGACAAATGCATCTGAGCCTCCATTGGTTAGTATCCCACATTCTACTCAGCAGAGCTCTTTCAATAAAAGTAATAATATATTGCGACCTGGGAAATCCAAAGTTAAAGGGAATAAGTTATCGTACAAAAACACAGGCAATGTATATGAAATGTTAAGTTATTCATGTTTATTGCTATGAAAGATTATTAATTGTATTATAATTTTTATACTAAATTGTAGAGTACAATGATCTGGGAGATGCAACATATGTATGTGAATTTTGTGGTGCTAATATGTGGTATGCAGAAAGAACAAACAAACAAAGAAAAGAAACGCAACCAAAGTTTTCCATATGTTACAGAAAAGGGCAAATACATCTACCTTTACTTCAAGAACCACCTGCTCAGTTTAAAGATTTGTTCATGTCTAATGATGCAAAAAGTAAACATTTTCTGGAAAACATCCGACCATGTAACAATATGTTTGCATTTACATCAATGGGTGGCAACATTGTAAATTCAATCAATGACGGCCGTGCACCATATGTGTTCAAGATGCAAGGACATAATAGCCATTTGATGGGTAGTTTACTTCCAGAGGATGATTTCAGGCCAAAATTTTCTCAGTTATATATTTATGATACTCAGAATGAAATTAACAACAGGATTGGAGTTTTAAGGTATATTTGCTTATTAATTTACCATTCGTATAGTTACAGGGAATGTTATGTGAATTGT